GACCCTCCTAGTTCGAGATTTGGGCTGAGAAAACCCGCGGGGATGGGCGCAGGGCACTATGGCCGAGGTGCCGGCTTGCGCATTGACGAGAGGGGAGTGGCAATGAAGAAAGTGATGATATTGCACCGCGAGCGGTACTGTTGACAAAACAACCGCCGGGGTTGTCGGATGCACCGATAATTGGACTACATTTTCCATTCGAGAACTTCAGTCTCTGGCTCTAACACACTTGTGAAAACACTTGGGTGAGGATTGCAATGAAATTCCCTCATTTCCCTGGCACATTTTGGTGGAATTCCCCGACAATTGAAGACATGTCAGTCAGATGGTCAAAAATACAGAACTGGATTGCATTTTGCAAAAAGGAACCACTAGCATTGCAATGTTGCTAAGATTGTGCAACTTCTTTTGTCTTGGAGGAAAAACCCGATCATCCATTAATAGTTTCTATTTTACTCGCTAAAAACTGTAAATTTAAGACAAAAATTACCATCTAAATCTCATAGTTTTTCACGATTTCCGCAATTTTATTGCAAAAGATGAAGTTGCACAATCTTAGCATCATTGCAATGCTAGTGGTTCCTTTTTGCAAAACGGAATCCAATTATAAATAGATTTTGGGTTAAATTTGTTGTTCGAGACATCAAACCCATTCTAGAAAGCAAATAAAGGTGTTGATCAATTTTTCCCTCACATTTCCAGGTTTTCCCTGACTTTATAAAATTCCCCAACGTTACCCGGAATTCCATGACTGTGGTAACCCTGTTCGGTGCAAGGGAGACTAATGTTTCATACGTTGTTCCTGAACTGAGTCAGAAATGGTAGTTCCTAGTTGCAAAATGCGGCCAAATCGAATGTTTTCCGACGGCAACCAAAGTGCGAAACCACGTATCTCCATTGCAGTGTTTCAAACTTTCCGATTACATTTTCTCGAGGAGCAACAAGCTAACTTAATAGCTTGAAATCAGATTGGCTGGCAAAATTTAATTTCTTTATTCCCTGACTTCTTCTAATTAAATTTCCTGACTTTTTTACGACACAACGCGATCGGCTGGCCCTTTGTGGACCCGATTTATACGCGGCACCCGGCCCCACAAAAAATGCCCTGACTTTTCCACGTCGAGTTGCATTCCCTGACTTTTCCCGCTTTTCCCGGTTGCTAGCCACCCTGTGACATGCATACAGAATATTCTACTACAGGGGTGGAAATTGCACTAGGGATCTGCAATTATCCAGGAGGCTCCGCAATTTTCAACAACGCGCAAGATTTTCGCAGGAAGGTCAGCACAACGCGCTGATTCAACATGAAAAACCTTTTTAAAGAAAGAAGGAAAAAAAAAAGAAAATCAAACCTGTCAGCCTCCGCAATTTTGAGGGCGTGTCCGCAACTTGGTCGCGAAAGCGCGGTCGAGAAAAATTAGCACCCCTGTTCCTCTGACAGAGAAGACAATTCAAGGAAGTTTTCAGGAATTTACTTGGACTAGTTTTCCAGACAAATAGCAAAGTATGACAGGAAGTCCGCAACGTCACAAACGGAGAACGTACATACGTGGTTTCGCACTTAGATCATCGATTTGTAACTCGAGTACCTACACTGCTGTGCTGAGGAAGAACGCCGTATGAGCCGTCCAACGTTGCCGAATTTCCTTAGATAAAATATGAATTTTCAGGGAAATCTGTGAATATTAATCCTCGATTTTTTATACGAGGAGAATTTTACTTACAAAAAGATCTAAATTATCTGTAAAATTCAAGAGAAAATATTCTCGATTCACTTAAAACATGAATATTTGATCGTAGGAAATTTGGCAACTCTCTACTGCTCATAAGTCGTTTTTCCTTGGCACGGCAGTATACAGGGTGTCTCTGGTTCCAAAGCCAGACAGCAGGAGCGTGTTTCATACTGACATGTAAAAATTCATAAGACTTTATAAAATGAAAGCTTGAAGAGTAATATCATGAAATTTCACGAAATTTCATGAGGTTTTCTGCAAATTCCGCAATAGCTAATGCGCTCAGAAACGCAAAAAAACATTAGATTCCTGATTTTGAAAAACAGGGAAGAACAATGAGTCTTTCAAGGTTTCTCATGGAATTCTCGGATGATTTTGTGGGTTGCATACGCAGCCCCTGAGGAAGAATCGTTGAAATTACGTGGGAAATTAAATTTCGCTTTTCAGTAAACGAGACAGCGTGTAAATTTCGAAATGCATTCCCGGTTTTAAGGGTCGAAAAAAGACTTTTGACATCGAACAAGTTTTTCAAAGTGCCCCTGTCGGAGCTACGGCCTAAATATGCCCGAAGTTTTAGTTTTAAAATCTCTGAATTAAGTTTTTCATCAGTATGTTCACCCGGAGCTCTGATTGGTTGTTTGGACACCCACCACTCGAGTTGGGCTCATAGAGGGGGACGAAGCTGTTATTGATGTATTGTAGGTAAATATGTCATTTAAATAAATAAAATTAATCGCATTGAGTTGAGTTAAGTTGACTTACATGAGTTTGATCGGTCACACAGCTCGGGAACTGATCGCAACAGACTCGGGTTGGGTTAAGTTAGGTCACGCATCTAAACTAACTCAACGGCAAAGCGGGAAGTATCTCTCGAATTGAAGGCGCCCCAATCCTGAATTCGTGCACATAACTGCCATTACAGCGAGGAGAGCCGAAATGCAAGAGTGAAGTTCTGAGAAAATGGACTCACTGGCGTCTGATCAGAACATTTTATTGAAAGGAGCCTCCGTTCTTCGTCATTGAAATAAATCAATTGAGTTTCATGAGTCTGATCGATCACGAAGCACGGGAACTGATCGCAACAGACTCGGGTTGGGTTAAGTTAGGTCACGCATCTAAACTAACTCAACGGCAAAGCGGGAAGTATCTCTCGAATTGAAGGCGCCCCAATCCTGAATTCGTGTACACTACTGCCATGACAGCGAGGAGAGCCGTAAGTGCAAGAGTGAAGTTCTGAGAAAATGGACTCACTGGCGTCTGATCAGAACATTTTATTGAAAGGAGCCTCCATTCTTCGTCATTGAAATAAATCAATTGAGTTTCATGAGTCTGATCGATCACAAAGCTCGGGAACTGATCGCAACAGACTCGGGTTGGGTTAAGTTAGGTCACGCATCTAAACTAACTTAACGGCAAAGCGGGAAGTATCTCTCGAATTGAAGGCGCCCCAATCCTGAATTAGTGTACACTACTGCCGTGACAGCGAGAAGAGCCGTAAGTGCATAAGTGAAGTTCTGAGAAAATGAACTCGCTAGCGTCTGATCAGAACATTTGATTGAAAGGAACCTCCGTTCTTTGTCAAATACCACCATTCATCTAAGAGACTCTGGGAAATCGTTTGGATGATTAGAGATCTACCAATTTTATATCAATTACTTATGAAAAAAGAGCATAATTCATTTTCATATTAGGCTGGTGTTGAGCAAGACAGCCGCAAGTGTAATCTTCTGCATGCTTTCGTGGTTGCGTTTTCGACACAAAAACGAACACATTTTCAGGTCAGAAATTGGCAGAAGAAGGAAGCAGTTCACTTGAGAACACTGTTTTAATTGGCTCTCCTTACTGCTCCTTCCGGCTGTTTGGTCTGAAACTACATCATTTTTGGCGCACTTATGACTTCCTTGTATGTCTCGTTTCCGTACAGTTACAAAGTTTGATCGAATGAAGCAAATTTGTGCAACAGAATCACATTTTAAGAGGAGGTAAAAAATATTTAATGAATGCCAATATGGGGAATGTTTCCTTCCGCTGAATTTATTGTTGCCAGATAGTGCTGAAAATCAGCACATTTCCCCATTTAAACCCATATGAGATAGCTACATTTTATTATACAATCTGGCGGTATAGGATTGATATGACCTCGTCCCTGGTCCCTGTTTGCTTACATCCGCGGCTATTATTGACACGATTTCTCGATTCGTCTCACATGAGTTCTCCAATGGCCAGGAATGCTAAGTAGGAATTGATGTAATACCCTATCAGCAAATTAGGAGACTTTAAGAAAATGTTAAACCTCAGATGTTCAAAAATGAGGCCACTAGCAATGAGGATTTTAGAAGAAAATAGGGAACTCTACGATAGAAAAAGGCTTATGGATGGCAGCAACATCATTATGTAATTGATATTAACATTATAAACTAGCGAATCAACTTGAAAGATTAAATGAAAAACAAGTTTTCCTGCTATCGAGATGTATAGCTAGATAATATGAGCAAAAAGGATGGCTTCTTATCACTCAAGTCTCACTCAACTCTCATGTGAACGCACAGAATTTGCTTCTACAGCTGTCACCGAAATGTCACACAAATTAATGTACATAATCAACCTGTGTGAACAACTAACTTAGAGAAGTAATTGAATGTAAAGTCAAAGTTGAATAGAATAGCCTAGACACTGATTTACAGCTTATCAATGGGAACAAAAAATGGAAACCTACTACGACTCACTGTAAACAATACACTGACAGTGGGGTAACTTGAGCGTTGACTAGCAAACCAGGATTGACACAAAGTAGGTACTACTGATATAATAGGGTGCTTCTTGATGATACTAGAGACTATAGGAATCAGTAATGAGTTGATAGCACTGATAAGAACATACTTAAGAAGTGTTTAGAGGAACGTTAGTCAGAATGTTCGATTTCCCTTCGAAGTGACACTTCTGATGAATACTAACGGAGGATACGAATTCATAATACATATTGGGCAAACCAGCTCAGAAGCAAAGTAAGGAAAACTTTGCGAAGAAAGATAAGTAGGTAATGACTGGATTTTCATTCAATTCGTACCATTTCCATGAACCGGATAAAAACGAAAGTAGGCTGACGTAAAAAGTCAGGTTAGGATTTCCATAACAAACTCCTAACAGTGAATTCTTATCGCACAAAACTAGATCCTTGTGATGTAAGGAAATAGCAGAAAAATCATAAGCGATAGCTAGGATGATCGAAGTTAATAATACAAGTAATCGAAACTGTAACTCACGTACCTGTGTATTTCTATTTCGCCATTGCGTTCATTCCTTATCACTGTCCTGGAATCACATCGTCTCGAACACTTCTGCCGCGGTGCTTCCTCCACTTTGCAAGGCGCAACACAACTCACAACGTTAAGTAAAATACAGAAAAGCTAGAAGAAAAAAAAAATACAAATTGCAACGATACCGAAATTTATCTATCCCATTACTACAGAGATCTAAGCTTTCATTGTTCGAAGGAAGGAAATAGCCAGCTCTACGGCTTAGGGATGTCGATTTTTTCGATTCGATTCTGACGAATCGATTTTTTCAGAGAAAAAATCGATTTTTTTGAATCGATTTTGTGAGAGGCGATTTATCGATTCAATCGATTTTCTATTTATAAAAATCGAAAAAATCGTTCAGACTTTTTCGCTCTGTTTAAAGTTTAAATTACTCTTTTAACGTCACGTCAAACCTACTTACGTTCAAACGCGGGTCCAGAAGGAAGGTATTTAGCGTTTGGTAAACTTTCTAATACATTCTTTTAGGTTTAATTGCAATTGCTGAACAGATCTTCAAGCACCATAACGACCATAACCTCTTTGAAATTTGAATGAATACTGTAAACAAAACTTCTTAACCGTCAAAACGGTCAAACGTCAAACATTCCTTGAACTAGTTGAACTTTCACTTTCACTACCTACTTATTTTATCCTACCTACCGATTTAATTAACGCCACTAGTAGAACTTTCTTTCACTTTAAAAATTTCTAAGCCTGAAATTAGCTCGTGCGCGGGGAAAAAACGATTTTTTCGATTCGATTTTAAAAATCGATTTTTGAGGTACGATTTTAAATCGATTAATCGATCTTTCGAAAAAAATCGAATCGATTCGCGTAATCGATTTTTTCAAAAAAATCGACATCCCTACTACGGCTGTGTGTGGCGGAAAATTTTGGGGAAGACTGTTTCGGATTCGGAGAATCGGATCCCCCTCTTGGCCAATAGCGAAGCGGCTTGAGCTTATGGCTTGGGCGAACTTTCGCGCCAGAGGGCGCCAGTTCACGGAGGGCGATGCACTTTGCCGCTGCGTGCACTAAAAATTAAAACCGAGAAAAAATGTTGAAGATTAATTAATTTAGTTGAATTTCTGCTGCGTTACAGAGGAGAGCCTTTCAGTTTTGCCTCTGCAATGTTGAGATGGGGGGGAGGGGAGATAATAGATCCTCTTTTACGAAAAAACGCAAGCGACATTCTCCCCTCCCCCTCCCACTATAACAATCGATGGGATACAAAATTGTCATTACCATTATGTACCCTATCGCTTCACACAGCCGTATACCCAGAATTGCCCCTCAGAGGTTCTTCTCATCAGAAAATGTTATAAAAAAATCACCTTTTAAAATATTGTAATTTTTTCAGTCGAAAATCATATATTTTAACAGAAAGTATAACTGTAATTTTAAACAGAATTTCAAGTAGGTAGCGATGAGCAGTAAGTATAGGAGATATTTTAGGAAATTGTTACAATGTTCAGGAAACCCTATTTAAATGTTTTTGGAGTAAAATTAAATTTTTTGAGAAATTAACCTACAGGAGTCTTTCAGAGCATGGCAATGTTTTAAGAGTTTTTATGAATTTTTTTTAAACATGTTTAGTTTAGAAAAATCAGTCAATACACTTTTTAGAAAAATTTACTTAAAGCCTTCTTGTTTTTACTTTAAATTATACTCACCAAAAAATAGTTTCCTGAAACAAACTTTCAACAGTTTTTTCACAGGGTTATCTTTTGATAATTTTCGAGATCTTAAAAAAAATTTCAACAACCCCTGCTGTTGAGGAGGGTTTCTTATACTTACCTACTTAAATTCTCTTGATAAATTTCTCCTCTCATTTTTTCAACTCTGATACTTGAAGCGGAGTTTAGTTGCAAAATTTACAACACGTACGTGCAAATATATTGCTTTATGATTGTGGGACTTTTAGACGAAAAGATAGGTAAGAAGTAACTATGGAAACACTATTTCATAAATGTTCAGATCAAATACTCAGTTCACAATGCATTTCCACTGATTGACTGGAAGGAAAACATAACCGAAAGTGGAGAGAAAAAATTATCGTGTGAAAAAGTGTGTGCCAGTTGAAAATCAGACCAAATTTTAAGTTGAGAGAAATGCCCGAATGGCGTTAGCAGCCATCCAATATTTTATAAACATATATACAGTCGTAACCATAAGAATGCACAAAAAATCTCAACAGTGTCTCAGACGACTTTCAAATAATTACAGATCGTCTCGTTTCTATAATGAATACAGAAGGCCTTCAGTGTTACTTCAGAAGAATTTACATTATGCATTACTTGAAGATTTGAAGCAAATTCACTCAACATTTGGATGTAATAATCGAAGTGACTTTAAGAATGTTTGTTTTGACAGTATCCTAAACAACAAATCAAATTTTTTTGGAAAATATACAGCTACAGCATACAACGGATCTGATATTAAAAAAAGTGCCGAGAGTTTTTCAAACAAAAACGTCGTACAATGCTCTACTGGCAACTATAACTGTTACCCTGCGCTTAGTAGTGAGTTTAATCTGAACGAGCCGAATAATGAATGTTACCCATCTGTGAAACAGAAAAAATATCCTATTACTGTAAATTTGAACTGCTTTCAAAATCCTTTATATAAGCCTCTTGATATCAGGATTGGAGCAAGAGAATGTTATCCTCACCCGAAAGAAAAGGAATGCCTGCCTTTGGAGCAATTACTGGGCGAGGAATACCCAGAGTGCCCTTCACCCTGCCCACTCCCCAGATCTCCAAGGCTCAAAGATCTGGAGAAAAGTCCTTGTGCCTGCGCTCCTTCAGATAGCCCTCTCAAATGTCCTATTCCTCTCAGACCAAACACACTGTGTCTCCCTCCATCCCCTCATCCATGCCCAGGTCCAGAACGTCCTGAAATATATTTATTGCCAAGAACTCCATTACCCTATAGTATTCCCTTAAAGCCAGACGTATGCTTATTACCCCCAAGTCCTCTTCCTTGTGCTTCTCAGAAACAGCCATGTATATGTCCGATTAGCAGTCCTCCGAGACAGGCGTGCTGCCCTCAGTGTCCTCCGATTTTTCTAGACAATCCAACACTTGAACCATTGCCCAGGTGCCCAGAGCCTTGTGCTTGAGTAAGATGTCATAGTTTCTCCAAGACATGGCAGCTGTGGGAATGTTTGTGCTCAGTGATACACAAACGTCAACTGACTTTCGATTCGTGCGAACTCAAAATCTTCACTGCCTATAGTGCCAGAAATTGAGCATAGTAAATTTGTGGGAGAAAGCTCGTAACTTCCAATGACAGATGCAAGAATTAAAAATCACACTTCATTAGTAACAAAACGAAACAAAATTTGAATTGACAGGTATGATTGAGAAAGGAAAAAACATAATGCTGTTGGACAACCATTTATTGACTTGATTCTTTGTCATTTTCTATGGTAGCCTTAATGATGAACTTTAAAACGCACAAAGAAATTACCCTTGCCATTTGAGCCTTGCATTTTTCCTAAGTTTATTAAAATTCAATAACATGTATCAAAAATAATGCTTTCATTGTTAATACTAACAAATTACCTAAAGATAATGGTAAAAATGACTTGTTCAAACTCCTTGCTATGCAGAAAATTGTAGGCTATCTCGCCAAAAAAAAAAATGATTCACTGATTGGATGTCTAAAATAAAACTTACTCCTTATTGGTCCATATGGCATTCGATTATCAATGGATTTGAAATAAATAAAATTAAAAACAAAAGATATACAACCAAAAAAAATGCGCCGCATGGACAAATTCATGCATGTTTCACCTACAAGAAAGAATTAGCGTCCACATTAAGAATGCATTTTCCTTTTGTATGAAAATGCTCAAAAAACTCTTCAAGTAGATTTGATCGCATCATAGAACATTAAATAACTATATTCTCGTAGACGATATGTTACTTTATTCTGAATGAATGATAGACTGAAAATTAGGATACAATTAGCATGGTCAGTGCGGATATTGTTTTGATGTATAAGAGTATTGTTACGATTTAAGTCAATTTTTTTTTCTGCTAGGGTATTTTCCAAAAGTAAGACCCCAAAAGGTAGATGCTCATCTAAAAAGTGGATTAACAAAGTTTGAAGTCAAAATACTCAAAAAAAAAAAGTACTCATTAAGAAATTGTGCAGGTAGGAAAATTAATTCTTCCAAGTAAATGGTTTTACTTTTAGGTAGGAAGATATCAGAATTTTTAAATGCATAACTACTTACGGGGAGGTTGTTTTCAAGAGTAATTCAAGTAAAACTGAGAGAAATTAGCATGAATTGAAACAATTTTGATTTTAACTGTAAAATGCCTTCAGACACCTCTATTTTGACATGAGGAAAAGAACAAAAGAAAACAATGTATCTTTAAATTCATGCCTTTAAAATTCAAGACTTTGCAAGAGAATGTAGATGCAAAATAGGTACGGACTGAGCATCAGAAATTCAGCTCGGTTCTGTACGTCATTCTCAAGCATGATAAGTTTTTTCCATACCATGTTGTGTATGTCTTTAAAAGAGAGATACATTTTTAAAAAATATAAGTTAGACTGAATAACATCAGTTGGAAATTTACTCTGCAGAGAACGTCTGGTTGTTCACAGAAGTCCAAACAGAACCTTCCAATGATGGCAACATGATTATATTAACAAGAAAGCTCTTTGATTTTTTATCATCAAAGTATACACAATTGATGGCACAGCCATCAGAAACTCAGCGATCATAATTAAACATTCTCATCATACAATGATTCGGAGCATAATTTTCCTTCAAGCTCAAGGAGAATTAAAAGTCGTATTTTGTTCGAAACAACAAATTGTTTCAGTTTTATTTCTTGTTTCTTTTGCATGATTCTGAACAACCAATGAGAAAGCGAATTTCAATTTTAGGTTAGAAAACAGCATTGTCTTAGGCAACAGCATAAATACGACTTGTCTCTCAGCACGTTGCAGTTGTTGTACAACAATGTTGCTTTAGGAGTTCCCAAATATTGCGCGCGGAAATAGCCCTGCCCCCACAACACAAAACAACTTCGAACAAAATGCAGTTGTTGCTTGTTTTCCCAACATGTTGCGAGTGTTGCCTCCGAATAAAATACGACTATACTGAAATATGTGTTGAAGGATGAAAAGATAAGACAATGATATTGAGACAAATTTAAATTTCCGTTCGGTGAAAAGCTTGTGAATTAAATTCTAAGCTTTGATATACAATTTATCTTCATGCCATTGGACCGTATGAATTTTTTCTATCACTTGATTCATCCATCAATTATAACATTTTATGAATAAACCATAGGCTTGGGTAATATCTCTCACCAATTATACATACTTCTATAGTACACTTCACGAAACCTGAGACTTTTTATTCGGCATTAACCCTGACAGCATTAAAACTGAACGCGGTGACCTGACTGCATTAAAACTGAACGCGGTGACCTGACTGCATTAAAACTGAACGCGGTGACCTGACTGCTTGCCGGCCACCCTCTTTTGTTCCGTAATGAGAGGCCGGCAACCCGTCCATTGTAAGGGTAGGAACAATGGGCACCCTTCATTCCTCATACCCGGACCCAGTTTTCTTTCTCGTTGAAAAAGTCAACTATTAGCATGAAAATTCAGGTCCAGCAGGATATTTTGATGAAAACAGACTAAAATTCTATCCGATTATCTTAATTTTTAACCGATATATAGCATTTGTGGTTGACTGCGATTTGGGAACCCTTCATCCCTGCTTAATGAGCCCTGGTACCCGGACTCAAATTTTTTTCTCGCCAACTTTTAGCCTGAAAATTTAGGTCTGGCGGGAAATTTTGATAAAAACGGATTAAAATTCCATCCGATTATCAGAATTTTTACCCAATCTACGGCATTTATGGTTGGCCGCAATTTGGTTCGATGAAATTAAATAATTTTAAAAAATTGTTCCATACTGTGTCCATGCGATTCTGCGGTAATAACATAAGCAGTGGTGTGGCATGCTTTGCGATATATCCATTGATCGGCCATTTAAACCTGTGGAAAGTCATCGATGTACAGGGTGTTCGCAACGAGCACCTTCATAATCGATTCTTTACTCCGATTTACTACGATTCTGTGTCCCCTCCTCCACAAATACCTGGGAATTGATCCTTGGAAACTTGGGAAATCCAACTCTTTGTGTCCACCACACTTTGACCCGTGCCAATTATATCCGAATCTCGTGGTTTCAAGTCTGCTCATCAGTTACTCTAAAATAAGCTATCCTGAAAGGTCATGTGTGTTTCCAGTGCTCTTAATAATAGTGAATCATTGTGAGTGTTAATAATTAATATTTTTGACTAACCATCATCGGTGTGACAGGCTTCTGAGAATAGAGGATGGAAGATGGGTAAATACACTCGAGCTCAGAGTAAAAAAGTTATGTATCATGTTTATTTGTGCATCCTGGCAGTGCTAAAAGACCCAAGTATTCTTTTCGCAAAAGCCCCCCAAGAGGCAGCTGCAGAAGCTTGCAACACACCTTTAACAAATATGAAAAAGATTTGTGCAGAAGCCAAGATATCCAAACCAGCAGAAGATGAAGAGCCTTCATTTTCTTCACCAAATTATAAGCGTGTTAGGGTGAAGAAAATCACTGGCTGGCACAATTTCAATTTGGATCTCTTGAGAAGGATTCTGTTTGAATTTTATGACAATCGCATGTACCCAACGGTAAGGAAAGTACGTGCATCACTTACGGAGAAAATAGACTTTGAAGGATCCGTTGCGTCTGTTTTTCAAATACTGAAAAGTATCGGCTTCAAGTACAAGAAAGGCAATGACGGAAGAAAATATTTGATGGAGGGAAGTGATATTGTGGCCATGCGGAACGTTTTCCTCCAGAAAATGCACAAACTTCGATCTGAGAAGGATTCTCGGCCGGTTGTACATTTAGATGAAGCCTGGGTGAACAAGAATCATTCACCAAATTATGTCTGGGAAGACGCTGATGGAAACAAAGGTTTAGTGGTGCCCACGGGAAAAAGAGGCAGGATCATCCTAGCCCACGTGGGATCTGTAAATTTTGGATTTGTAGCAGGCGCAAAGTTGGTTTTTCGAGCAAAAAAAAATGGTGATTATCATGACGAAATGGACGGAGATCGTTTCAAAGAATGGTTTACCAATATGCTCCAGCTCTTAGAAGAGAGTTGCGTCATCGTTATGGACACTTCGAGTTATCACTCGATAATCCTCGAAAAGGTGCCGAACACTCAATCAAGAAAAGGGGAGATTATCGAATGGTTGAAGGTGGAAAAATTGGCACATAATTCTACTCAGAAAAAATTTGATCTATTGGAAATTGTTAGAAGGCACAAGCCTCATTATGTGTTGTACGAGTTGGATCAACTGGCCATTAAGATGGGTCACTAGGTAATAAGGTTGCCACCTTATCATTGCCAGTGCAACCCCATAGAGCTGATATGGGCTCAAGTGAGATCCTCAAATTTTCTCCAATATTCTTTTAGTCTTCAAATTCTTAAGAAAGGTTTTTTTTTAATTGTTATTTTATTTTTTTCAGTAGTTACAATATATTTTCCGGTTACTGTTCATTACATCAATAACTTCATTCAATTGCTTTACGATATTCTCCAAATATCCGCTGAATTTTTCCTTCATTTTCTCATTTTACTTATTAAAAATTTTCAGATTAAGAGAGAAGTTCACAGCACCTTCAAACTGGATGAAGTTGAGAAACTTTTAGATTCCACAGTTGATCGGGTTTCTATTGAAGATTGGAAAAATGTTGTAGAACATGCGATAAAGGAGCAGAAGAAAGATTATGAGAAAAGTGGTAGGCGGGCTCTGCACATGGAGCAGTTACAGATTGTCATTCAATTAGACGGTTCTGATGACGATTCCTCGGATTCTGATGATGATGAATCTGATACTGATATTGAAGACGATCAATTTTGAAGAAATTCTCCTACGTTATTGATGACTTCTAAGTTTTCAAGGCTTTCTTATGCAATCAGGCATTGTGAGATGTGGCAATCCCACAAGCCCTCCGATTAGCTCACTGCCACTGCCCTCCGATTGGCTCCTTGTATATTTTGGTTATGTGTGATCCTTTTCATGGCGTCGCCTGTTGCTAGATTTGTTCACTCGTTTTGTCGAGCTTTTTTCTTTGTGTCATTTTCATTAATACAACGGTATTACTTCAAATGCTCGTCATTCATTGAACTCATTCCAACTCATTCCTTCATAGGTTATGGGCCTGCATCCCTAACTGTTGTGGTTCGTGAAGACTAAAAATTCGCGACTCGCGTGTTCACGTGGCCGCACAGGTTTCGGCGCTGAAAATGAACTGATGTTGGAAACGTGAAAAATATTCGGGACTCTCGTTCGTGTTGACATGGCTATCTTGTTTTTGTGCCTTGACTCCGTGTTGTGGAATATTTCCTCGTGGGATATTAGCACATGTGACTGAGGGTGAAACTTGTGCATGTCAATCGTTCGTGTGTGCAACCGATCTGAAACTGCAACGTAATGGCTAGCAAGTGTACCAATGATCTAACTGCAACCATTAGCAAATTCAATGGAAAGAATTATCCTCAATGGAGATTCCAATTGAAGCATGTGCTTCAGGCCAAGGGGCTCCTCGGGTATGTTAATGGAGAACTTCAAAAACCTGGTGACGATGATAAGGAAGGTGTTCGGAAGTTTCTAGAGAAGGATGCATTGGCAATGTGTGTGATCTCCTCAGCGTTAGATTATGGTCAGGTGCGAATTATTGAAAATTGTGAGTATGCAAAACAAGCACTAGATAGATTGGATAGTATCTACAAGCAGAAGTCTGAATTCTCAAAAATGACGTTGTTAGATAAGTTTCATCAATTAAAGATGGGAAAAGATGAATCAATTCTTGATTACATCATGTCTGTTGAGAATTTAGGAAAAGAGATTAGAGAAACTCGTGAATCTCTTAGTGATGTAGCAATAATCACTAAAATCATTGGCACACTTCCGTCAAAGTACCAAAATTTTCGCCAAGCATGATTATCCATGGATTCTGAACGGCAAACTGTAATCAATCTAACATCTCGTCTTTTGGATGAAGAGGCTAATCTCTCTTTGTGCGATAAATTTGATTCTGCACTCACTACGGAGAAGAGGACTTCTCGTAATCGTAATCGACAGTAAAGGATCGCAACACATTTGTTACAATTGCAACTTACCGGGGCACACAGCCCGTTATTGTAAAGCAGGAAAAGGCAATAGTTCGAATACTCCTACCCAAAAGAGCAACCATGATAAAGAAGATAAGTCTGACACTAATCAAAATAAAGGTAAGAAAAGTGCTTTCTGTACTGATTGTGGTAGTGACTTCGAGTCAAATGGATGGGTGTTGGACAGTGGTGCCTCATTCCATATGACCTCTCGTAAAGAATTTTTGAGTAACTATGTCGAAGTAAGTGACGAACAAATCACCCTAGGTGATAACTCCGTCCTAAAAATCATTGGTTAATTACTGAGATTTGTTAGTCTGTAAGACAATCCGCCCTTGTAGGATTGGGGGGGTGTGTGAGATGTGGCAATCCCACAAGCCCTCCGATTGGCTCACTGCCACTGCCCTCCGATTGGCTCCTTGTATCTTTTGGTTATGTGTGATCCTTTTCATGGCGTCGCCTGTTGCTAGATTTGTTCACTCGTTTTGTCGAGCTTTTTTCTTTGTGTCATTTTCATTAATACAACGGTATTACTTCAACTGCTCGTCATTCATTGAACTCATTCCAACTCATTCCTTTATAGACATTCTCTCTGAAGCTGAAAAGCAGGACCAGAAGAGTGTTATAATATCAATGTTGACTTTTTTTATTTTTTCTTCTCTTTTATTTTTACTATTTCTGACAGGCCTGTGGGAACAGTCACCTTACGACCAAACTTTTAAACACGCCGGTGTTGTGCACGCTGTTAGTCCTAAGCCTGGAATAGAAAGTGTAAAGGGAAGTTTGGAAAATACGCCTTAAAATTTGTGTAATTCTCCCTTTTATAGTGAAAGATTCTTATGTTATTACTGCAGAATCGCATGTACCTACAACGGTATGAAACAATTTTTTAAAATTATTTAATTTTATCGAACCAAATCGCGGCCAACCATAAATGCCGTATATCGGGTAAAAATTAAGATAATCGGATGGAATTTTAGTCCGTTTTCATCAAAATTTTCTGCTGGACCTGAATTTCCACGCTAATAGTTGAATTTTTCAACGAGAAAGAAAATTGGGTCCGGGTACTTGGGCTCATTAAGGAGGGATGAAGGATGCCCATTGTTCCTACCCTCACAATGGACGGGTTGCCGGCCTCTCATCGCTGAACAAAAGAGGGTGGTCGGCAAGCGGTCAGAACACAACGTTTGGGACTGATGCGTTGCCAATTAAGGATTTTAATGCCAAATAAAAAGTCTCAGGTCTCCTGAAACGGACTATAAAGTTGATATTTAAAAATCCTGACTTTAAAAATCAGCTCCACTGACTGAGATTTAAACAGGGCATTCAAACTTTTCGCTACTTTTATCATGTTCTTCATATACTGAAGCGGGCAAACTGAAGAAAAGTAATCCTCATGCTGATGTCATGGTGCGATGCTCCAACTTACAGGAATAATAAATTCTATCGGAACTGATTACAGCTTTGTTTCACTATAGCACGAGCAATATCTGCATGCCCTGAAAATGAAAAATGAAAAATTAAAGTTAATTAACTTGAAGCTGAAATTAATAATAAATGAAATCTAACTGAATAATTTTAATTTTAAAGAGCTTGCATTTTTTTCTTCATTTTCAATCATTACAGTTATATCCAATGCACTTAACAGGATTGCCACAGAATTCAGAAAATGAAATTCCCTGACATTTCTCTGATTTCCCAGACACATTTAGGTAAAATTTCCTGACACTAGAAGATATGTCAGATGGTTAAAAGGGCATACTTTGAAATATTTTTCACACTAAAGCTATTGTTCTGTAAGTCAAAACCATTCTAGAGAGCAAATACTTAAAGGTAACTTCACAATTTTTCTCAGACACTTTTGTCATTTTCCCTGACAATTCCATGTTTTCCCTGATTTTTTAAAATTCTCTGACATTTCTTAGTATTCTCTGACTGTGACATGTGGCAACCCTGAATTAAATTAATTATAGTCTGCTTGATTTCGATCATCACCAATGGGGCTCCTCATAACCGCTTCCATTTGCGGCAGGTGAAAGCAGCATCGGAAAAAGTTTTATAAAATGATTTGACAGGAACAAGAGAAACTGCAAGTGTAAAATATTTCTCTTTTCATGAGAGCAAAAAAATTTGGAAAATGAAAGTTTTAGATGTATCTTATATTACAGAAGCTCAATGCTGATACTCACCTAACATTAATTCAACATACAAAGCTAACGCAATCACTTGTACAGGAATTTCTGACTGCTCTGATTTTGTCACCCAGATCTGAAAACAGTAAAAGAGCAATGATCAGTGCTTTTCCTTTTTCTTCCTTTTTCCTATAACTCGTTCTTTCTCTCTCTCTTTTTCATTCTGCTCCTCAAAGAATAGATTTTTCAGTTGTTCAAGTGATAATGTCATTATTTGGTGTATTATTACACATATCATTCCAGTCAATAATGTAATGCCAGCAAATTTTTGCGGAAAATTCAGTTCTATTGCCATTAATTACCATCTGAATTCGTTAAAAGTATTCACCGACAAAATATAAACTTTGGTAAGACTGAGGAAGGGTTAAACAATGCCTCACTATTTTTTTTCACCATTATTTGCTGTGTAATTATTGAACATTCTGTCACGGCAATTTTTGATAAAAGAAATGTGTCAGCTACACTAACATACAGAAGTAATGTTTTTAGTTTCTTAGTGGTCCCACTATATTCCTTCATATTTCTGCCTGACCACTATGACATTGGGATCTTTGGCAATATAGCAGAAATTTAATGAAGATTTTCACAGTTATATATAGGTAATGTTCCCTTGTCGTCATTCCCTGGAACATATCTCATCTGCACTGTTTCAGTGTCTCTACGAACATTTAAATTACTCTCTTATGGAAGAACCATCGCAGTTTTTCGGAAAATTTTAGTGTCTATTTTTACAGAAGTAAAAAAACTCAATGGTTGGGCGTCTCAGAGCGCCAGAGAGCACTATGAAAACGACTTATGTACGTAAAAAAACTCCCCAGCTATTTCAGGCAAAATCATGAGACAATTCTCAGAAACAATCCTCTTCCTCCTGAAATGCGAGTAAGAAATACTGTGACGGCACAATTAAGATGCATTCCTTTGTGCAAGAGACAACAAAGTGCACGACCAGAATGATCACGAAAGAAAAGCGAAAAAACATTATTATTTGTATGATCGCTTTGAAATGGGCCTGTTGCAAACTTTTGCCAGAGCAAAACTAAGAGTTGTTTCTTAGAGATAATGCCTCAAAAATCACGATGAGCGCATCGGCAAAGTCTGAAATGCACTCATAACTTCACAGTCTGCGCAAGAAATTTGCGGTTTTTTGAGCTTCCCGCTTCAAAAACGATACTACGGCACAGGTGAACATTTTGTAAGAGGAGTCGTTCCATCGTCGGCAATACTCATCATGGCCGACGCCAATCCGCCAAAACACGTGTGATGGGACAAGATAACACCTGAACTGGATTAGACCAGATAACAATCGGCCTGTTAACGTTCATATTTTCCACGCCTGAATTGATTGACCTTGAACTCTCCTCGAATTATGCGCGGAACTGCGCGCAAGCGTCGGCCATGATGAATATCGCAGACGATGGAGCGACTCCTCTAACAAAATGTTCACCTGTGCTGTAGTATTGTTTTTGAAGCGGGAAGCTTAAAAAAACGCAAATTTCTTACGCAGATTGTGAAGTTATGAGTGCATTTCAGACTTTGCCGATGCGCTCATCGTGATTTTTGAAGCATTATCTATAAGAAACAACTCTAATTTTTGCTCTAGCAAAAGTTTGCAACAGGCCCATTATATAAGAATATTACTGGGAAATTCAATTATTTTGAGCTGATCATTCACTAAAGTTCCAAATAAGTGTTCTTAAAGCAAATATTGGATTTTTAAGGTTGGGTTTCCATCAATTCAAAGTTGAGGCTAAAATTAGAAAATGCTTGACTCCAAGGAATTGAATTAATTACAATTAATGATTGTAGGAAATTTGGGGACTTACTCAGCCCTCGGCACAATAATTTAATTTTTTTCATTCAAGTCAAAATAAAGGCATAACTTACCGATTTCAACACTTCTGCAGATTTTTCTAATTCCCCTTTAATTACTAGAGCAACAGCTAAATTGTATTGAAGAATATTTTTGGCCGCAGTAAGATTATTAGGGAACCAGGATATCGGAGGTTTCAGTGGGACTTCATACTTTTGGGGAGGAGAGGGTAAACTTAAATCATTCAAGTAATCTAATTTTAAATGATCCATGGCTTCTGGTAATTGGCCTAAAATTATCAACGCTTCAGCGGCATACAAATGACCGAGGAACCTGGCAACAAACAATTTTACAGATAAATACTCATTCAAATATGTAGAACTTCAGAATCAATATCGAGAAAATATAAGAAAGCTTTTACAATCCCAGAGGGCTTTTGAAATTTAGCTTGAATACTATTCATTAGGCAAGGTATGAAAGTGATTTCTTTACAAATAAGGTTTCCCTAGTTTCTTCAATTTACCTAATTCCAAAGTTTCTAAATTCCCTGACTTTTGACAAAACTTCCGCGTATATTTCTTTCCTTTTAATTCTACCTATTATCGTTGGACTATGGATGGAATCTTCACTTTTAACGATTCAAATGAAGAAAAAAGACTTTCAAATGTAGTTTGCGCTTTCTCCGATGGCACAGGCTAAGGATGTTGAGCCGATATGCTCTTGGCAAAATTCCCCAACTTTTCTCGTTCACCATAAATTTCATGATTTTTTGGGTTTTCCACGGTGCAGATTATGAGTGCAGTATTCAGCAAAAAGAGCTTAATATCAATTTCTTGTAATGTATAACTGAAAGTTTCAGATATTACTACCTACAAGAGTTAATGAACATTTCTTTGATTGTTCTTTGAAAATTGTCACATAGTTCTGACCCTGAGCCAGAAGTAAGTAATGCATAAAATGTCGAACGAATTCAGTTTCCGCTTTCTTATTTACAAGATTGAATAGAACAAAAAATCTAAAATTATTTGGTCAACAATCGACAATTTTTTTTTTTTTAATCCTTCAATTTTTCCCGATGTTCTTCATCAAAATTAAAAATCCTTCAACGTCTTCTACGTTTTCCAGCTGTGCCAAATTACTACCAACAATGGCAAGGGAAAAAAATCACCTATTCATTAGTGGTAAATTCTTTTTAAATGGATTACAACTTAAAAATTGAGTAACTTAGTCTTACTTGTGCGCACCAGACAGGGAGTTCTGACAGAGCAATGAGTTGGCATGATTTAGAGCGAGGATGGAATCTCCTGAACATAGACAAACATACGCGCTTGCAGCTAAAATATGGCATCTTAAATGTACTATGTTAGGTGCATCTCCGCCATTCCTCGTTAGAAATAGCGCATTTTTTAAACATAAGGATCCGAATTCTAAACCAGCAACTGGAATTGCATAAGATTGTGCTTCTGAGCTAAAAAAAAAAAAAATTATTATTAGTGCATACGAGCGATTATACATGACTCAGAACACTATCAAGCCATAGAGAAAAAAAAGGTGTTTGTATTTCGGGCATCTTGGAATTTTTTTGATGACGTAGGTCGGTACAGCAACGTTTATCATCGATTTTCTTGGAAATGGTGTAATTTATGGGAAAAAGGCATGCTATATAAGTGCTTGAAATTATATCATGAGTTGATTTAAGCAAAAAAATGGGACATTATGGTCCGTTTTTTCTACTTCGAATTCCGGATTTCGCTGGCCAGGTTATACCGACCTATGTCACAGGGTAAACAAACCTCAAGATGCAAACACCTCCTTTTCGTTCTCTATGCTATCAAGCAGCATCGACTATCATGCTTCAATATTTCATTTTGGATAACAGTACAAGGAGTAGTGGTGCTTCTTAGCAGCATCAAAGTTAAAATATTATTTTCCCGGAGGTTCTTGCTATTTCTTCTATGGAAGTTCACTCATTGGTCTTATGAGCTTCTACCACATCAAAGAATGGTTTGGATAGTTGCTAAAAGCACTGAAGAGAACTCAATTAAAAATTAAACATAAAAGATTTAGAGAGAAAATTCCAAATTAAAATAGCGTGATATTGATGCTACGGTGATAAAATGATTGAGATCTACCAATGATTTAAGCAGAAAAAAAGTAAAAAGTTACCTGTACTTAATATCTGTAAATATTTGAGTGTTGAGAACAATTTTCCGATGAGCGCCGCTCCCGACTATTTTACTAACGATTTCATTTCGTTTCACAGCCAAGTCAAAGTCTTTCCTGTTATCCTAAATATCAAAAGAATCATACAAATGAATAGCGTAAGAATATGGACAGTGCTACTCTAAAAATTGCAGCATTTTTTGGTAAGCATTTAAGGTTAGAGTAGTAAATACATACACAACTTTTGGAAGACAGGCCAATTCAACATCCATATAATAATGATACTTTTTTTTAGGTTAAGAACTACTATCTTCCATATTTCCAGGCGGTAAATTTGGTTTGTGTGCTTGGATTTTAGTACACAAAAAAATGGAAAGTTATGATAAATTCCGAATGTGATAAGACTTGAGATGAGCAACGTAACAGCTCGTGATGCAATGAAGTACTTCAAGTCATGATGAGTTAGTAGATTGCACATTCAAAGGATAAGTTATTTTCTTTATGGAAATAAAATGAACTTCTTGGAGTCTTGATACTTTCCAACAATATTATGACCAGCTCTAAGAGACGTAATTTTAATCATCACTGATTTTAAAGCTTCCCTTTAAAAAAATGGATGAAAAAATTTAATTTGAAGAGAGAGAAAAGCTGCCAGTGACAGAAAATAAAACATACCGATTTATATGCCATTATGCAGGCTTCAGCAAGTCTCAACCATAGAACAGGATTCATATGATAAACTTGCACAGCTTCTGTCAAGCAGTCGAATGCTGGAATAGGTTTGCCTGCATGCAGCAAACTCACGCCCAAATTGTATAGTACTTGAGATGCTTTGTTGAAACCTAAAGTATGAAGAGCTCTCCCTGACAGAGGCTCCGCTATGGGAAAAAATAATTGAATTATTAGATAAATCCTGACAGTTTCCACTGACAAGCGATGAAAATGACCTAATCACCAACATTGTGGTGCTGACGGGACTGAGCAATTGAGGCATTTTTTGGTAAAAGAGCGAATGATACTTCCAATGCCGCTAGGATTGTGCACAGTCGTTCTGTAGTTGCAAGTAACTTCTTCAACAATTCTGCTATTAATTTTTCCTTGAATCTGCTCCGAGTTTTTCTTCACTATTATAGGGAAGTAGGTAGACTGTGAATGAATTTCATCTGACTCACATGCTATTAAAAATTGTACGGTCTCAGCAGCATTGCAAGCCTCTTTTACCAAAAGAATCCTCAATTTCTCAAAATCTGCTCTTCATAAACCACAAAATTTATTCATCTCCCCCTCTGTTCAATTTGAATCAAACAGAAGTCAAATTATAGGCAAAACTGTAAGAAACTGGTGGGTGCAATTTGATTTTTGCCATTACATTCTACTGTTTTGTTCATGATAAAAATTGAATCAGTTTCTATTGGACTTGCGCCCTTCCAACAGAAATCGATTAAAATATGACCTTAATGACACTTCTGCTACCCGTGTTACTCAATTTATAATAGAATTTCGAACAAAAATGTGCTTACCTGCATCGGGAGTTGCAAATGTTTTCAGTCCTTTATTATTTTCCAGCAGTGCTTTGTGAAAATATGTACTGGCTAGGTTTGGTTTACCTATGCAATAATACACACAACCCAAGTTATTGTACACCATCGTCGACAGTGATTCTCCACTTTCTCTGCGCCAACATACAAAAAAAAAGAAGTTAATAATACTAATATTGCGGCGAAGACTGGATCTTCGGAACAAAAATGTGATTTTTCCTGTGAAACGATCTGTTATTTATTTTTTTCTCCAGAGTATTACTAAACAAGTTGCCTGCCATGTTGGAATCAAAGTCCTGACACCAAAAGAGTCCCTGTGGTGTGTTGTATCAGGCTCAAGAGACCGATACCAGCCAACTTAAACACTGACCACAAGCTGACATTTTTTAAGTAATGGCGAACTGATGGCAAACAAACTTAGGGCTAAAAATTTGTTTGACCCAGGTTTTAGACCTTTTCCAGTGTTCATTGCAGTTTGCTATTTGTGTGATTGTTTTCATAGCGCACTGCAAACAAACCCATAAAAGCACTTCGGCAGGCAAAATTATAAAAACTAGCAAGTTAAAATTATGGACCGGATCTATGAAAAGGGACCTCATCTTGAGAGTGGAGAATTTTTTTAACTTTTTCAAACACTCAATTCACGTTTTTCTACCGCCTAAGAATTTCTGTCTTGGAACTTCAGAACTAATAATTCCTCCAAATTTTGAGATTTCAAGATCAAACCAAACTTTCCAGATTTTCTTCTTGCATGCATTTGGAAAAAATTAAGGAAAATCTTCCTCTGGAGGATACCGAGGTCCCTTTTCAAAGATCCAGTCACATTGAGATTTATTGGCCATACAAGGCTTCTGAAAACAAAAATTAAGAGCAATGAGGGGTGAGAAAGAGAGAGAGAGAGAAAATAAGAGCAGACTCACTGGATTGGAACACTATTGACCGGTATACCGGTATTCAAGATCATCACAGCTTTCCTGAAATTCCCACTGACATATTCAGCATTTGCGAGGAGGAAAACTGGTGTGGTGATATGCTGTGGGAGGAAAAATAAAATGAATCACCAAATAATTACACAAAAGCTGGAGATAGCAACGGATTTTTGAAAGTCCATTTGTTTAGAATTTCAATAAGGCTAAATTTTGCAGTAAAAAACTACAAGCTTTAGCTGATTTCAGCCATGACACATGAGAAATTAGTTTTCCTATAAAGATATGAGCTTTTTCGGACAAGTTACAAATTTTAGTTCCTCAATGAAAAATGTAGTCTGATGGAAGTTATGCGGTCTGCATAGATCGAGTATTTATATGTACCCTCATTAAAGTTAGATTTGGTGCTTGTATAGGTATTCGTTAAAATCGATTGCTTCAGCTATGTGGAGAGAGAGAGTATTGCTATATCCTACACAAAGCTTAATTGAGAGAGCATAGACATTATACTGGCGCCAATCTGAGACCCCCGGGTGGAATTCTTCTAACTAATTGGAAATTGCTGTTTTACTGAGAGTTGCACAAACCTCGTACCAGTTTTTTAGTTCTCATCAATATAGAGAATTTTATCTTTAATTTTTCGTGTGAATAAAATTTTTGGAGAAAAGAAGACTCGCTGATGTGAAAGTCGCATGGCATTCTATGACTGAGTTAAAACGACCCTCATCAGCTATAAAATCTGATGAAATCTTGCGTCGTTTCAGTCATGGATCAGCAATAAAGTCTTCAAGTTCTAGCTTTCTTTCCTTTCCGCAACACTCTGCAATGTTTCTATGAAGTACAGGTCTTGAACAACAGCCTTCAATGGTTAACAGATTACCTAAAATCTTCTTGCTGAGTGAGTCTTCTTTCAAGTTAATTGTACAGGCACCATTTTGGGTTTTTGCAGGGTCAAGCAAAAAGTGACAAAATTTTTCTTTGTACTTTTTTTCCAGTGAAGCAGTGGTTAGCAGTGGTTGCTTAACTGAGAAAAGTCATCAAATAACCTTTAAAAGGCGTGTGTTCCAAACTCCATCTAAATATTTTCCTACAGTCTTTTCTGTTCTTGTTGCCCTGCCAAGCGATTTATACCAGCTTGAGTCCAAAAGGCAGGGCCAAGCCATTGCTTGGTCTGCCTCCTCCCCTGAAAACCGCCCCTAATAATCCTGTAGGGGCGTGCTGCTGATCATGTTCTCCATGTAGATAGGGTATAAATTCAACAAATTAATTATCACCTATAAAATCATCTCAGTTCCCTACAGCAGAGCAAGGGATGGGCAAGAGGGGTTTATTACCTGTTTTTCCCCTGCATACAAACTTTTTAAGTCTTTTCGACAATTCTTGACGAGACCAGTCTTCAGATAAAATCTTGCCCTGAATTGCAGTAGTTTCAATCTAAGGGCATCTGTTGCTGCATCCAACACCATCTATATTTAGACAAATAACAAAATAAATAACGAATTACTAAGATAAATAAACAAATTTTATTTTCTAATATCCATAATTAAACAAATAGACACAATTGAGTGTGGGACTCGGTGAAAGTAAAAATAAAAAAGAGAGGAGGCAGCTACAATATTCAACGTTATTGAGAAGCTTCCTCAAGTGCATAGATCAGGAAATAATAAAAATTAACCTACACATCTGATATTCCGTCATCCTGAAAGGACACTATGTTCATTTTTCCACTTGGACAAATTGTAAAATGTGGTGAAAAATTCAAAGATTTGAACTGAGGTTAGGTTATTAAAATTACGAAACCGTAGAGTACCTGTAGAGTCGCAATGTACTGGAACGCTGATGAAGTCAATCCATGAACGGGCCATTCCGAGCCCCTTTTTTGCCGGAAACCATCACCGGTGGGAACCATCTCAGAACTGTTCGGCATTTTTTAACACGGCGGCTCATGGGAAAATCGCAGATTGCGAGTGGCTTTCGAAATCAATCATTATTTCCGCGAATTTTGGCAAATTGTGTTCACCGAAGTCATAATAAATTAAAAAATGTACAACACTCCCGGTTTTGATGAAATAAATATTATACCTGTATTTTCTGAGAGAAGACCAGATCTGGGACCCCGTGCATGTGCCATCGCCAGTCGCCGCCACTAGTCTCAGGAGTAATGGACAAAACAGCCTCAAAAGTGTTTTTTTGCTCCAGAATATATTGCGACTCTTTTGTACTCTAAGTACGGAATACTGATGCCCGAGAATTACAATCTGCTGATACTTCCAGTGAAGTCAAGTCAGGTTATTTTCTAACTTCTTAAATCAAGTTACCTTCAATTATTTTTTACAACTAATATGCTTCATTTCTGAGGGTGAACACTGAAAGAAATTTTGTTATGATGCATCTTGAAACTTAGGAAAATATTATGATTGAGGGAGACAGCCTCTAAACAAATTGTGAAGAATACTTACTGGTTTAGCTTGATCAAGAGGTTTTATCCTTTTCTCTCTGATCATTTTCATAGCGTTTTCTGTTGAAACAAACTGAGTTTCAATGTAGGAAATTAGTGATAATGCTTTTTCTAACTGATTAGTCCGTAAATGTAACTCCACTGAGAGAAGGCAAACTCGGTGTGCGAGACTTTCCTCTGAAAAAATAGATAAGATTAAAAAAATTGAAAAAAAAAAAGAGACAAAGCAGGGACCCAGGAAATGGGCCTGTTGCAAGGTGCGGAGATTTGCAAATTGATGCCACATTCTTGTGGCAACTTTCACGAAAAAAACGATGGCGCTACTAAAAAACCTTGAAATGACCTCTCAAACTCCAAAAAAGTTGTTTTTGGAACCGACCCATTCAAAACGGTCATTTTTCAACCGCCATACTTGTGATTGGTGGATTCTGTGCTTGTGACGTGAAATGATATGACAGACCTGGTTTCTTCATCACTTACAATGTATTTTCCCGTAAGGAAATGGCAGCCGCTTTTCAAATGCAAATATCGAGTCAATCGATAATTTTTTGATCAAAATGGAAGTCAGAAATTGATTCCTCGTACGTTTAAATGGTTACCGACGAATGGTACTTCATTAGATGAATAAGAACCGACGGGATAAACCCTATTTTTAAGGAAGACTGTAGTCAATGGGCGATTGTTTACATCTGCTAAGTGATAACAGACATGGACATTAGCTCAATATTTGGCCATTTTCATGAGTTTTTACTTTTCTGTCACTATTTGAAGGTAAGTTTATTTTGTAAATCAATTGTTTAGTGCCTTAGGATCATGTTAAAAGCTGAAAAGGTATACTTTGTTACTTATTAATTCAGAACACACTCCGGCATTCCAACGCTCAAACCTGGATGTAGCGAGTCAGTTGTTATTTCTTACTATTTCACCCTTTATTGCTTCACTGAAGACACCAAAATGATAGTATCAATCATTGATGATGAAAAAAACTTACCTTTGACAATACTGATGAGATGAGGAGACTGGTATGTTTTAGCTGGAGGCAAGGAAAGTAGATGTAGGATCCTTCTTTAGTTACCAGACTTTATCGATAAATTTTTCTGTATAGTGTTACACTTAAAACACACAGAATTTTAAAATAACATAAGTTTATGAAATGTGGGAACGTTCTGAATGATATTGAGATGTTTGTTGAAGAGTTAAGAATGATTTACACGCATTCAGAGAACATCCATGGTTTGAGTGTTGGACTGCCAGAGTGTGTTCTGAATTAATAAGTAACAAAGTATACCTTTTCAGCTTTTAACATGATCCTAAGGCACTAAACAATTGATTTACAAAATAAACTTACCTTCAAATAGTGACAGAAAAGTAAAAACTCATGAAAATGGCCAAATATTGAGCTAATGCCCATGTCTGTTATCACTTAGCAGATGTAAACAAACACCCATTGACTACAGTCTTCCTTAAAAATAGGGTTTATCCCGTCGGTTCTTATTCATCTAATGAAGGTTTAAACCATTTAAACGTACGAGGAATCAATTTCTGACTTCCATTTTGATCAAAAAATTATCGATTGACTCGATATTTGCATTTGAAAAGCGGCTGCCATTTCCTTACAGGAAAATACATTGTAAGTGATGAAGAAACCAGGTCTGTCATATCATTTCACGTCACAAGTATGGCGGACCCGAAACGACCGTTTTGGAAATCCAAATTCTGAGGCGTTTTTAAGTTGATTTTTTGGGGGTTTCCAGTGATCAAAAAACTCCGGTAAAATTCCTGTGACATCAGGAGCCTTAGTTCTTTCAATTAAAGCAATAAAAAAAAATTGGTGCAACAGGCCCATTACTATAATGTCCAGATAAGTTTTGATTGACGGATTTGCCGAAAAATAAAAAGAGTTCACCCGCAAATATGCATGTGTCGGAACAAAATAATATGTACTATCCTGGTAGATTGCTCTTTAATGAAGGGACTGAACCTCAAACTTATCTTTAGTAGTGTGTTGATTCTTTAACATATAAATTCGAACTTCAATTCAAGACTTTTTTAATTTGTTTAATTTCTGAGGAATCACAGTGAAGTCTCTGAAAAATTCACAGACAGTTAACCACAAAATTTTCATCATCAATTTTTCCCAACTTAGCAGTCATTTAAAATTGGAAACATCTTATCCTTGATTAAACTCTAGACCGCCAAGACTCCATTTTGGCTTAAAATTTTTGGATTGTTTCTGTCCTTGCTTTTTTGTAAAATAACTCATAAATAATAAGTTAAATATCAAGAACTCAAAATTTTTAGTTTTAACAGATAGAGGTCCTTTCTTCTGGGAATAGTCAAACTTTAAAATAAATGAAAAATAAATATCTTACCCATTGGCTCTATAAAAGAGAACACTTTGTTGATGAGCCGTAATGCAGCTTGATGCTGTTGCATATGATATAAAAGTAGAGCATAGTTGTAGTATATTATGCAATGTTCGACATCCTCTAGGGTTTCTAAATCATCGATGCTGATACGAAACTGCAAAGACAAACAAGAGAAAATCCATTAACTCATTTCTACTTACAAGTGCAAGTGCACTTTTTGTGGAGATGAATCGCAATTTAATTTTTTCTGTATTATTGTTTGTCTAATTAAGTGTAACGTTTAATGACTTGCTATACATTATGATGAACTAAACGCAGTATAGTGGCGCCAAATTATAATGCTTCATTTACACATAATTTAAAGTTTATTCACTAATTCTGAATCAATTCACATAATTTTCAATCAAGACTGTGAATGCACAGATATTTTGGTGTGCATGCAGTTTAAACAAATTTTCGCCGATAAGCTATCAGTGCCAATTTAAACCAGTACTGCTAAGTGCCCTGAAAATGGCGAATATAACCGCGACAACCGGTATCAAAGCCGAGAGCTATTAGATTGCATGATGCGATGGCAGATATAAAAGATACACACATACTTAGCAACAGCTCACTATTGCCAGCTCTGAAATTTCAGATTGGGAAGAGCCTTCTAGAGCCCAATTCACACTATTAAACTTTTCATTTAACATAACTGGATGAAAGAGATAGTGTGATACTGATGTAAGAAAATGACAATTTGATGAAACACCGAACGGAAACTTGAATAAGACGCCACACACAACTTTTCGTTCAATTTTCTGTCCAATTGGCGCCGCCGATTGGATGGAAAGTTGGTTGGAGAGTACTTAATTGAAATAAATTTTATGGCACTCACCTTTCCATCCAACTTTAAATGAAATTATGTTGGATGAAAAGTTTGATAGTGTGAATTGGGCTTTAACGTTACTTTTCCTGCACAGAATGAGTTCGGAGACATACTGAGGACCAATGGGACAACCCTGGGTCTATCGCTCACCTGATTGAACGCAGACAAAAGGTTCTTCTTGAACTGATCAGTCTTCTTCAGATCACTTTTAAAATATTCAACGACCGCCTTGTTATGGACAACCTTGAAGTCATTGGGTCGCGAAGCTTCTAATTGCTTGAAAAACTGATAACTAGCTTGAAAATTGTTCCGGTTGAACTCAGCTAGAGCTGACTGAGCCCAATCTTTCTCCTGGTCCGATATAGATTGATTGCTTCTGGTGGTTTCACTAGTTTTGGATGAGTCTTTACTCATCTTTCCGAGCTAAATCAAAAGAGAGATGAAAAGGAAAATCGGTAAAATTATCACGGGCCCTAACCGCTGACGCCGGGCTAGCGGCAACAAGTACCCGAAGTCAAACGAAGAAACGCTTCCTGACATGTGCGTGAAACTTTTAATAATTATTCATTGATAATATTATGACGTTGATAAGGATATCAAATTATCACATTATTAAACTACTATTAAACAATCACTACCTGTGCCACCCGCTGTACCTATTGAAAATCGAAAAACCGAAATAACCTCAAAAAACTACTGTTAGGTTTGTCTTTGTTGTTTGATTCTCGTTGTCTCGAATTGATGGAATACTTTTAATTGAGCAGAGATGACAGTTTTAACGGCTGATAATTAAATAAATTAAAGTGAATTGAACGATCTGGGGACCGGCCGTGATTCCGCGTAAATATGCGTATTACTTTGCATTAGCGTACGCATGGCCGCCATGTTGCTTTCTGCGAACGAATATCGAATATCGTATCGAATGCGATTATTCGAGTATCGCACTATCGATTCTTTAGCATAGCTTCTAACGGGGACGTGGCCATATTCGATCATTCACAAAAGTTGGCAAGAAAACCGCCTCTCAGCCAGACTCCGTTCTTCTCGCTCCGGCTCACATTCGAGAAAGGCTGCGGCTAGAATTCTTACGATCAGCGACCTTCCTCCTAATTTTACTTTAAAACTTTCAATCTTAGAGGAAAATGTCATAGGACCCGAAATAACAACCGTGAAATTTCCTATCGGTTCATTACACAAAATTTTCGAAAAAATAATTTTCGTGACCAAAAATACGGGTTTTAAAAAGGGCGCAGGCAAAAATTCTTATGATCAGCGACCTTTCTCCTCATTTTACTT